TTCGGTCTTATTAACATCAGTTCTTCTCTTTTTCCCAAAAATGAAGTTTGGTTTTAGAAAGACATTCTTATGTCCAGTATTTCAGTATATCTACAGTCGAAATCTTCAGACTGGAAGATTCAAGAATGCTGGATACAAACTAATAACTTTTAAATAAAATACAAGACGAAAAATGCATAAACTGAGAATCAGATTGCAATATGACTAAAAAACCAAAAAACAACTGCCTTGTTTACCACACTGTTTGTAACTGACGAATGGAAAAGAAGGTAACATACAAATAAAGTGGGAATATGCGAGAAAGTTCGTTCCTTCTATCGTACAAAAGAGGAATTTTTGACATCATAGGACAGTTTCTAGAGATATCGAAAACGGCGAGTTTAGCAAGGTAAACAAGTCAAACTACAAGCAAAAGAAAAGCGGAGCTGGAGCGTTCATGAAAACAAAAGCGAAAAGAAAAATCATAATAATTAAAAAAGATAACGGACAAAAACGAGCAACAAAGAAGCGGTAGGAACAATGTCGAAATCTCTGGAAGGACTTAATGGTGGCCAGTCATCTCATATGGAAGGACCTAATGGTGGCAAGTCATTCTCATTTGGAAGGTACTAGGACTTTTTATGGTGTGATTACTTCCTGTAGCTCAGGTATAAATAGGAGTCAAGTAGAGACGATTCAACAACATTGACAAAAAAGAACAAGAGTAATTTGTATTTTGACTATTGTGTGAAATAAGCGAGTGCTGTTTACAATGTCTCTTCAACCTTTCTTCGATTTACACCCATTCCAAGACGTCTTTTCTGACTTTTTAAGCTATTCCCCCCGCGTTCAACGCCAGGATCGTGCTGTTGATTTGTCACCTGCCATTGATGTCCATGAAGACAAAGATACGGTTGCTGTTGATGTAGAACTTCCTGGTGTCAAAAAGGAAGACGTTCAAGTTCATTACGACGAAGGAAAGCTTACCGTTTCTGGTAAATCCGTGAATGAACGCAAGAGCGAGGGAGATCGAGGAAACCACAGATGGTCTGAACGTCGCTTTGGATCCTTCTCTCGAACTATCTCCATCCCCAGCAGGATCGATTCCGACCGTATTGAAGCCCAATATTCCAATGGCATCTTGAGTATTGTCTTGCCCAAGATTGAGCAATCTCGCTCCAAGAAACAAATCGCCATCAATTAAGCTGAAGGCTAGTGGTATTGAGTTTATGATGATATGATTGTATTCTAATGAGAATTTATAATGGCATAATGACTTTTTAATATAGCATTGCGTTTAATGAGAGTTTATCAAACTTTAAAGGTACTCACTTCATTATTGTTTATATCAAATAGCAGTGTGGCCCAGGAATGTCGGTAGCATCTATCTTGCCAGTACGATTCCAGCCGTCTTGACCAGAACACTATAATATTACCAACGGTTACGGCTTGCGAATGAGGATGGTAAATGGTCGCTGTACGTTTTTTCCATAACCATCATACGTTATAATAAGTTAAGCTTGACATTGTATTGAGGTAGGATCAACCAACAAAATAAAAAAAAGAACCAAGTGTTAAAGAGCAAGAGTAAAATATTTAAATCTTTTACAGGTTTCTTTTCTGTAAGACTATGCAAAGTACAACGGCAATAAACGATGAATCATGTTATAACTGGATATTACTTTTTATTTCTTTTCTTTTTTTTATGGCTAGACAACATAAACAAAGCACTATGTTACTCGTCAGACAACACTGCAACTTTGGAGAGGTGACGGTATACATCGAAGAATAGCGGTATTTTTAGTCAACGTAATCTAGTTAAGCGAAGGATACGGAAGGAACGCGAAACTTGCAAAGCCATTACTTCACCTCTGTAAAACTCTGGTCATCGCCATTGCGGGCTCATTTCTCGGTTTTTTATGGTTTTCTCGGCTTTTTCGGTTTTTTTCTTTTAGGGTCAGTTAATTTAGGCGCTTATCTGACCCTTCTACTGCGTCGTAATTCTCTAGTTTCACGGTTCAATTTTAACCCATCGCATTGGTGACAGATGACTCTATTCTAAGAAAAATGAACGAAAAAGAAATTCACTTAGAGGCTGCGAAGCAAGGCAAATCTTTTTGCTTGAGCTCTTCTGTAAGTTCTGACAGCTTTTTGCCGAAATACAGCGAAAACTTTTATTCACATCTGGACGATATGGAGAAAGGTTGCTTATGTTTACATTCTGGTCCAGCTCCACCGTATCCAGAAAACAACCATCAAGAAGCGTCCGTAGACATAGCACGACAAAGCAGATACTTCGAATCATCAAGGAATTTCTTCATGTCAATATTATGGTTGATTTTCTGGCCGGTAAAAATTGCGAGAATTCCTGAAGCACGACGCAGAGAGGAGAATGGAGCTGTCCGGCTTGGTTGGTGCTTTATTGGGTTAATCGTATTGGACTTTTTCTTTTCTTACTTTTTCCTTGTCCCCTTTATAAAGGAATCGATGAAAGAATCTGTAGGGTTACGGTTTCAGATTGCTCTAGCTATTGTTCTTGTCATCGCGGCTTTCTACATGTTCTTGTTTGTTTTTTCACGTAAGTGGAATGGTGGAATTTTAATTTTATATGTTTACTAATGGGGTACTTATAGTGTTGCTGGATTTTATTGCTTTAGTGCTTTCTGGGATTGCTTCTTGTATTTCTTGGATTATTGCTGCTCTTGGTTTCAGGATGTCGTCGGAAAGAAACGACTCGACGGATGGTAACTGGATCCCACTAAGCACTATGCCAGCAGAGTCTGAAAATCAATCCAACGATCGTAGTGATAATACTGCCGGACAACCATCATCTGAATGTTTTGAGCAACATCCAAGGATACATCACAAACCGAGTCAGGCTAGGGATGCTGAAAGCACTGGAAACGAATCTCATGCTTGAACCATTCTTATGATGATGTCCTGTCTTTTCATTTATTCTCTATGCAGGCTTGTGTTTTCTTTTAATGTTTTATTTTGTTTCTTTCGTTTCCCGTTGTATTTATTTCAATCGAGCTTTTGCATTTAAACACAATTCATAGGCCGTTGTTGTTGAAGCTCTAATGGTTCCATCGTGGCTTTGCGGCTTTGAGCAATGAACAAGTGAGGTCGTCGCAGGATGAACTCTCTAGTTGGTTCTTTCTAATTCACATGTTGGTTGTTATTTATTCTTCTAAAACTCTTAATTCCTGATTCTTTTTAATTTGCTTAATAGAGCTAATAAGGATTTAATTATTGAATCAAGGATAACCAATGCTTTTTTTGCTTCCACTTTAGTATCATCTTAGTCAAAGGTCCATGCCTCTCAAAACGACAGCCATATACCTTCAATAAAAAGGAAAGAACTAAGGTAGGAGAAAAGCCTGCAAAGATAGTTGCACAATAGCAGGTCCCGGAATGTTTAGATTAGGTAGAGACGATCACGAAGAAGTATGGAGCCCAGATCTGTGTAGATTTAGGATGGATTTATATCAAGGTTTTAATAACCTTCTAGACGAGGTTCAATTGCCGTGCGTCCGTATCCAAAGCATTCTCGAGCTTGTGTTTAAAGCTTGGCATGTTGGGTTCCCAGCCTAGTAGCCTCCTTTCGCTTTCCTCTACAGTCATGTATTCTACACCTGGCGGCCGAATAAAGCCTCTCTTGTATGAGACCTTGGCAGCCATCTGCAGCATTTCTCGATTCACATAAAAACCAATATTCTGTTAGGTAATACCATTTTTCTTCGTTCCAGGTGGCGCGTAAGTCACCGTTCACGATAGATTCGGCTAATAGCAAATAGAGCTTGTTTAAATCCTGCACATGGATATTATACCAAATGTTATCACCTTTTCCAACCACCTTTTTGTGTTTGAAAAATAACTCAAATAACGGAAACGAGTTCTTCTTATCCGGTCCCCGACCTATGCAAATGACAGCCGGAGCGACAATGGCAACTTTATCTACCTTGCGATGGATGATCTTGAAGTGAGGTCAACTCCTCTACATGATCCTAATCGTTGTTAATCCTGTCAAAACACTCTCCATACTTTCCGGTGAATAAAGTCTCTGCTGCGAGAGCCAATGCACGAGAAGTATGAATATAGTAGGCATAATTCTTGGCTTGGCGACGACTCAAGCCTCAAACGATTTGCTCTTGCTGACGGTACATGTTCATCACTAGCAGCAGAATGAAAGACAATATCAGCCTTGGAAACTTCCTCTTCAATTAAGTCTACATCATCGGTACTCCCACATTACCAGTCTCGCTTGAGGGTATGCAGAAGGTACTTTGGCCTAGCCCCTTGCTTTATTACGTAATGAATGAAAGAGAAATCCTTGGTGCTACGTTACCACATTCATATAATTTATTTTTTTCATCCTTTATTTTTCTTTTAATTGTAATAAAAAAGAACGTTGCAGAGATATGTTTTATTTTGGTATAAGTGAGAAAGTATGGCGATAAGAAGCTCAAATATGATGAATGGGAATCAGTTAAAAAACATTATCAGACAAAACAAGAGGAATTCAAAAAGAAGAGGAGGAGCCTACAGCACCCCGGATTCCCATGTTGTCTCCAACCATAGTACTAACGAGGCCCTCAGACGCTTAACTGCAGTGATCGGACGGGAACTGGTGTTTTCGCCTAGGTATGGCCGTAGACAGTTCCTTCAGTTCAAAAAGATAATTCATAGGTTCTTTTTAATCCTGAAGAACCCATGAGGGCTACTTTTTGGCTGTAGGCTGTTACTCACTTTCAAGTGCAAAAAGTTGTTCAACAGTTCACAGAAAAGTGAGATCTGCTTTGTTTACAGAGGTGTAAACAAACGCGAAACTAGCGAAACTTGTTATTTGTTCCTTGTGACTCAAACGTATCTTCAACGATTTATTAACAATAATCGCTATAAGAGATAGCGCAACCGAACCCATCGCTATCCTGAGCGAAAATGTTGCGTAAGAGATGCGAAATTTCTTGCTGGAGCCAACTTTTTATTTCTTCAATTCCTGCTAACTGGGCTGCTTTTGACTTTCATGTGAATGTTTGGAATGATCAGGTAGAGCTACTTTAGTTTTTGGCTGCTATTTCTGTTGAGTTTTGCGTTTGCGAAATTTTGCATCGAATACGGATCGACAGCTTTTATTTGACGCTCTTTTGCTAATTATTCATTGAAATTTCTCTTTATTTATTTTTATTATGTCTGAAAAGGAGCTGAAACTGGATTCAAGTGACCCTCCTGCGTACAACCATGCTAATGTTTACAGTGCTGATTTAGAGAAGGGTCTTTGTTTGGATACACCAAAAGACATAAAGAACCCTTCCAATTCAACTTCTGTCAAAGCCAAACATAGCAAAAAAACGCCCAGGAATGGATCACAAAATTCCATCGCCTTGATAAAGAAAAGCTATGAGGAAGTGTTGAAACAACTTTCCCTTCGCTTTTCTGATAATCTTGTCATTATTGACGAAAGCCAGCGTCTACCTTCAACATTATTTTTTTCGTTGATGTGTACATTAGCAATTTCATACAGTTTTAAACTTCTTTCTTGGCTGGAACAAGTATATTCGGACGATAAATTAAGTTGGGCCCTTCTTGCACCTTTAGGCCCTTTGCTTGTGATATGGACAAGCTTGTTTGGTCTATTTTATTGTAAGTGAAGCATTTTTGATAAACAGAAAACAAAAGAAAGATGCCGTTATGTTTGCTAACAAAAAGTAGATTCTTCTTCATTCGCTGTCAAAGTAGCAAGAACTATTGCACAGGTTATATTAGGTGTTGCAGTCGTAGTTGCAGTCTTTATTGGAGGTGTTGCAGTCGTAGTTGCAGTCTTAATTGGAGGTGTTGCAGTAGTAGTTACAGTCTTAATTGGAGGTATTGGAGCTGCTGGAGTTTTTGTCGTTGGTCTTTTGTGCTGGGGCTTTTATAACATTACTGTTTTTGGCCTTGGAATGGAATTTAAGCGCTCAGCTGAAAACACCGGTTCGCCTACGCTGCCCAGATATCAACAAAGAGATGATGCACTAGCTCCTCCGCCAACGACTACGAACGAAGAAATAGAGCTGCAAAGCAATCCTACCACTCAAAGTTAATGCTAATTTGTTTACCTTTCTTTTCTCATGAGTCTTAACTCTTCCGATTGAAAGTCAGTAAATGAAAAAGGGAACATTACAAGCGGTTTATTTCGAGGAAGATTTACTTCTTTGCCTATGTTAAGCGCTTTTACATTTTATTTTGACTACGAACTTATCCTTGTACCAATATGAATAGGAAATGACGAAGAAAAGTGGACAATAGAAAGGCATGCATGCAATCCGCCCATTGAAAGGCAATGCATACGAACTGAAACGAACCATAATCTGAGAATCGTTGGCATCATTCTAGATCCTTAGGAGTATCGGAATTTTCCAAAAATCCAACAAACGTTAAGTATGCTACATACTAATGGTAATCATATTCGATGAGAAGGATAAAAAGCAATGAATATAAACTTTGATTCGATCAGCAAAATAATATTCAGTTTCATAAATAATTGTCAAGACCTTACTTAACACAGGATTTTTTCTATTCAATTTACTGTTTAGCGCGTCGCTACACTACCGTCTTATTTCTTATAAGCAAATCAGTATCCTTCTTTAATTCAATTACGATCTCGGAGCGATTCAGTAAACCAAAAGGAAAGACTTGGTTTCTGCCAAATTGCAGGTTTCTTGGAAATACGTGCATGAATGAGCATATTGGTGCTATTGAAAGTATAAAGGGGGAAATTCATACATTACCAAAAGAAGTATTCTCCCGCTTGTCCTTTAGCTACCTGAAAAGAACCATTCGCTTGCATCATGAAGCGTAGAGCTGTTTTAGAAGCATTTCAAAGGTCCGACGATGAAAATGAAGATGTTCTAGAAAACCCTCAGTTTATTACTGGACTTAACACAGAAGGTGACATTGAATACAAAAGCAAGGAGATTCAGCAAGCTCATATAGAAAAAAGAACTCCAAAGATCATTCATGTTCCCACAAATAAAAGCTGGCTAGAAGAAAGGAAGAAAAGACTTGAGCACCAAGCCCTTCAAAAAGAAAAAGAAAATGCTCCAGAACGACTCCCTGAAATTGGTTTGAACTATGGTCTTAATGTGAAACAGTCTGCAGTGGATTCAACCAAACCAAGAGATGCAGATAATTCAGCTAGCCTTGAACTAGAAACAAACCGAATTGAAGGTTCTGAGCCAAATGCAACTGTTCTTTCACAACAAAATGCATCTGCAGATCGAGAGGATTCCTCTGAACTTCCCTTGGAAGTGAAAATGATTTTGGAAAACCAAAATAGTGAGAATGTACTTTCAGGCACATCTCAAGCAAAAATCATCTCCAACCAAGCGGTGAATGAGCGCGAAATGTATAATCGTGATGTCGAATTGCTGCCGAATTCTTCTGATTTAAAGGATTATACCGACATACCAGTAGAAGATTTTGGTGCTGCAATGCTTCGGGGTATGGGTTGGAATGGCAAACTTTCTTCAAAAGATGCTTTTGAAGTAAATCGCCGTCCAACATTTCTTGGAATGGGTGCAAAGCCCATGGATTTAGGAGTTCCTGAAGTGGGAAGTTGGGGAAAACAGGATCCAAAAAAGACAATGTTTTTGCCTGTAAAGGCTGTTGGCGATAATACATCGAGCACGAGCAATCATGCTAACCCAGTAGATCGTTCACATTCTTCCTCTTCTGTTTCTTCTTACAGAGATAGCAAAATGACTTCTACTTCTTCTTCTTCTTCTCGTAGAACGGCAAGAAGTCCTTCTCCTTTGCGATCGTCTCGACATCGAAACTACTCTTCGTCAGGTCGTGAAAGGACGCGTAATCGTGATAGATATAGTTACCACAGACATCGCGGTAGAGATGAAAAGGATGATTTTGATTATGGTTATGAAGAAAGAAGAAGACGAGATGGAATGTCGGATTTGGATTATCGGCGAAAACGAAGATAATTGAAACAATAAAACGTTTAGCAACTATCGAAGGTTAGGTAGAAATAGCTTGGCTTGGCATTGACTTTCCATACCTTGCTCGTAACAAAAAACCCTTTTTTTTTTTTCCTTCATCATGATTGTTTACGTTTATGAATAAAAAGATATTTATGCTAACTCGTAATGATTATTTAAAACAACTATTCATGAACCTACCATAGATCAAGGATGAAAAGTAACAACAACAAAATTAAACACCATAAGCCGAAACCCATTTCAACCTGTTTGGTTTGCTTTACTTCAAAGCCCACCAAAATCGATGGCCAAAAACTTGCAAACTGATTTGCGGTAAAATGGAATAAAAGTTGTACTCCAATGAATCTTTTAATGATTCAGAGATTTTTCCAAAGAATCGTGAAAGGACTTCCATTCTTCTGTAGTAAAAATTTCAGGATAAATGGTTTGGAATTCCTTGACAGACTGGACAAGACCATTTACGTCGGAGACAATTATATGATATCTGAAAAATAAGGCAAGGGTATGGAGTGCCTTGGCAACACAATCTTCATCAGCGGAGTGTTGTAATGCAAATTGATAAACTTTATCCGTGAATGAATAAGATTTGGCTTTCTCTAAAAGAACTTGCTTTGACTTGTCGTCTTGAATCAACAAGGAGTTGAAGAAAAAAATCACACGCTTAGTCATGTTAGAATGCTTCAAAGTAAGGATGGCATCCAATTGATCCCAAGCATTTTCAATGTTGTCGAGTGCGAGCACGCCGGGTTCATTATGCTTCAGCTCACTAGTGATGGCATACAAGATCTTGTTTTTGGCTTCATCCGAGTCCTCCTTGTCCAAACTAGCAAACAACTTCGTCAAGCCGTCATTCTCAATTAAATCGTTTTGAGATCGAGGGTTATTTTGAACAGCGGTAGCAATGACCCAAGCAGTTAATTTTCGAAGGGAGGGTTCCGGGCTATCCAACTGTTTCAGTAAACGGGGCCACATTTGCAGAGGCTTCAAATTGTTGGCATTGTCAATTTGCTCTACAAGCATCTCCAAGTTGTCGAAAGCAATCTCCTTTTGGTCAAGGGGAACAGACTCATCCTCAATGCCGTCCATAGCATGTCTCATTTCATCAGCAGGATTCGAGCCAAAGATATGATCCAAAACAGAAGTATCTAAATTTTGAGGATTTGAAGGAGGAGGAGGATTGGCAGATCCACCTCCTTGAGCCTGTAATTCGGTCGCAAACGCTAACAATTTCTCCATTCTTTTCCAAACTCAAGGGAAGCAAAAAATGTATATGTGGACGAATTCGATTTCTCACAAATAATTTTCACAGTATGCAAGTTGAATCTCCTTGCAAGAAACACTAGTTTTATTCAACGAGTAGGAGGTTTTGAGATTCCTCTAGACGCTTCTAGCAAAAAGTCGCTTCGTGGAATCCACCTTTGTAATATAATTATACTCTACTGATAATATAAGTATCTGTTAAATAGGATTATATAAACAAACAAGAAAAGAAAGAAATCCTTTCTTTCTTTACGTTTTCAGATGGGTTTTTCCATAAAGAGAAGATTGAATCTCTCTCTTTCTAAGCATTCTTCAAAACTTTTTACGAAGACCCCAATTGAATGTCTGGGCTGTTTGTAATTTCCACTAACTTTCGAAAAATGACATTTGTTCATTCCCGATAAAAGAGCTCGATCCCTAAATGGAAACCATAAAAGAAGGTACATACGCTTTTATATCCATCCATTTCTTTACTCTATGACCATAGTGTTCACTTGCATTCATTTCAATAATAACCAACGCTAGCTCGTTAATACGATACAAATAAAAAGTCTTCTACAGCCAGCTTAAGGGCGTATGGGTGTAATAAAGGTTCCAGAGAGAAAATAAAAGAGAAAAAAAATCCATCTCTTACTCTCCTAGCCTTTTGACTTCCCTCATGAGGAGCATGCAACAGTTTGTAAACATCAAACCAGAAGAAAGGTCATCATCAGAAAATTTTCCCCTTTTGAAAAAAATATCCTCCTTGGATTCCTGCATTTAGCTTGTACAAGTTCAACGTGAAACTTCATATATCTTGTCTTCCAAGTGCTCCCTTCAACGCTGCCACCTTTTTCCATGCTACCACTACCACTTGACATTTGGATGCATTGTGTTGAAAGCCAATTTTGAGGGTTTCTGTCGTCTTCATTGAGTATTTCTTTTGTATTATGCTGTAAATCCACTGTTTTGTCAAAAGGATTGCGTTCTTCTTCATCCTATTTATTTACTTGGGTTTTTTCATTTGTTTCATTGGGTTGTGCATAATTCTTTGGATTTTTTTGTTTTTCTTCCTTTTTTTTTGATTCCTTTTCCTTGATTCTTTTTTTTTCTTTTTTTAAGACTGACAGCTTTGATCAAATATTTGTCATAAAAAATGAAATTGTCTCCTTTGGTAGAAAACTATTCCTCCGAGTCCTTTGCGGTTCCTCGAAAGCCTACTATTTCAAAAATAGACACCTTGTCACGGCACCAGAAATCGACTTCTGGTTATGTAGGCACCGCTGGTCCTGGTCGGCATATTGGAAACTGGATCATCAGACGTACCATTGGCTCTGGAAGTATGGGGAAAGTGAAACTTGCCATCCATACGACCACTGGCGAAAAAGCTGCTATGAAGATGATTCCTATCACTCCTGCCAATACGAAGCAAACTGTGCGCATCCAACGTGAAGCATTGCTGGGCCGCGTTTTGCGACATCCAAATATCTGCCCTGTCATCGAAACCATCAGGACACCAACCTGCACCTACATCTTATTTGAGTATGTTGGTGGTGGCCAGCTTTTGGAATACATCTTGGCTAATGGTCGTTTGGACGAAGGTACTGCTCGTTTATTTATGATCCAACTTTTGGATGCTTTGCGATATCTCCACCAAAACTTCATTGTTCATCGAGATTTGAAAATTGAAAATATTTTGCTTACCGAAGATTTGCGTCAAGTAAAGCTTATTGATTTCGGTTTAAGCAATTTTTACAGCCAAAGTGACTTGTTACAAACATATTGTGGAAGTTTGTACTTCGCTGCACCAGAACTTTTAGATGCCATTCCATACAATGGTCCTGAAGTCGATGTCTGGAGTTTAGGCGTCGTTTTGTACGTTATGGTTTGCGGTCGTGTCCCGTTTGATGATATTTCCGTCTCCATGCTTCACTCCAAAATTAAATCTGGTAAGATAGAATTTCCCTCTTACCTTTCCAGCGATTGTCGTGCTTTAATTAGCGCTATGTTAAATGTAGATCCCAAAAAACGGATTCCATTAGAACAGACTTGCCGATTCCCGTGGTTTAAACAATACTCCTTTTCTAATTATATGTCTCCTCTAATGTCTTCAAGTTTCCCAGGAATATCTTCAATCCGTTCCTCCATGCTCAAACCACCCTTCAACACAAAGGTCTTGCAATTGCTCCATGATCACGGACTTTCCAGTGTTCCTGAACTTAAGCATGAGCTTTCCATGGCGTACACAGAAAGAAAGACCACTCCTTTGGTCTGCTTATACCTTTTAGGTATAGAAAGCTTGGCTCCTGCTTTACGAATACCCAAAGCGCTTCCTCCTGTTCATAGCAGGTATTAATGGTATCACCGTCGCCTGTTTTATGACAAACAGTTTAACCCTGAAGGCTACAATAACCTGCTGCTTCTGTTTAACTAAAAAAAAACACTACATATGAACGCTGATGTTTTTTCCCTCCCAGACCTGTTATTCCTTTTATGAATTTGATCTATTTCTTCTCGATTTAATTTTGCCATCCGCTTACCCACCTGTATGGATCATAGGTTGTTAGTTAATTTTCTTTTTGTTATGCTCGCTTCTGTAATTTCCTTTTCTTATCCTTGGTCATTTATTTTTGTCATGGTTATTTTTTCTTCTCATCTATTCTTTAATTACCTTATTGCTTTAGTATAGTGGTGCTTTTCTTTTTTTTTTTTTTTTTTTTTTTTTTTTTTTTTTTTTTTTCTTATTTTTCTTCT